TTGTTATTAATTCCCATAATTAGCATAACAATAATTAACTTTGCCTTAATATTTATAATTTTTCAGGAGGAAATAAAATGACTCAGTACTATTGCTGAAGAAACAAAAATAAGGTTTTATGTGGTAATCTACTACAATCAAAAAAGTAAAACAAAAATTTTAAAATTTGAATATTTACCACTGTATGAAATTGGTCAAGAAGTTTTAGAATATCCATGAAAAAAGTGCTATTTTATTACTAATAGCAATATTGCCTGAAATTTTTATGGGATGATTTTATCTAAAATGTAAAAAGGATCTTCACTTTTGCTTACCTTGGGGACCTTGCTATTGCAAAAAGGATATGAAATTATTCTTTACTAACCTGTTTAACTAAGATTAGATATGCAATGGAATAAATGTGTCCCCAGAATTCATGTTTTAAACCTCATCCCTGATATAATGTTATTAAGAGATGGTGGCTCTGTGAGGTTGATTAGGTTGAGGGTCAAAGATTTATGAATGGGATTAATGGCCTTATAAAAGCCTCTTTAGATGGCTCCCTTCCACGCTTTCTTCTATATAAGGATACAAGAGTTTGGCAATCTGCAACCCAGAAGAGGCACCTCACTACAACCCAATCTTGCTGATCACAAATCACCTGATCTCAGTTTTCCCACCACCAGAACAGTGTGAAACAAGTTTCTGCTGAGTATAAATCAGTGTATACCAATTTGTTATAGTTGTTCACACTGACAGATGAGAACATGTTGTATGTGTATTTCATTCTTTCAAGAATTTATAAGACTAAGAGTACATGGCCAGAATATATCCAGAGGTCTGAAGGTGTGTCATTCATAGCATTTGCCTTGCTTCCTGTGGCTGGTCAAAAGCAGCCCTGATTGTGTGTGTGTTGGGGGTGAGGGGGTCTAAACCCTAGGTCACTGATGGCTTCTGTTCTATCTCTCCCAAAGGGAGAATTTGTGGTGTTCTGTTCTCCTCTTTGTTTATCTTTTTGTAAATAAACTTATAATGCACACACCATGGAGGAAAAAAAAAACCCAGTAACTTGTATTTCACATACAATGAGTTTTGGTAGTTCTTTCATTTCCAAAGGAGATTTCATCATTTTTATTTGAAGAAGTGATGCCTGATAATCTGACTCCACATTCTGTCTGAATCTGACACCTCTGATCTTTTAACATGACAAAAATCTCTGGTGGAGACTCATGCAGGTGGCAAATTGTAAAGTGACATGAAGGCAATATGCAGCAGCCTGATGTATTTTCATTATTATTGGTTCATTGATACTCTCTTGGTGATGTGGGAACATGGTTGAGATACAAGGAAAAGAAGCTAAGGTTTGAGAGATGATTTGTGTGGGAGAAAAACTAAAGACCATAGAAACAGAGACCATACATCTAATAAGGGGAAAAGTAGGCCCAAATCTTCATCATATTGGATTGGGCCCCAATTTCCTTAACAGGATTCTTAAAGTGCAAGAAATAAAATCAAAAATTAATAAATGGGATAGATTCAACCTAAAAAGTTTCTTCTCAGCAAAATAAGCAATCAATGAAGTGAATAGAGAGCCTACCTACATTTGGGGAGCAAATTTTTGCCAAAAGCACATCAGATAGTGCACTAACCCCCAGGATATATAAAGAACTCAAAAAACACCAAAGAAACAAACAACCTAATTAATAAATAGACTAAGGAGCTGAACAGATACTTCTCAGAAGATATACCATCGATCAACAAATATATGAAAAAAATATTCAACATGTCTAGTAATTAGAGAAATGCAAATCAAAATTACCCTAAGATTTTATCTCACACCAGTCATAATGGCAGCTATTATGCATACAAACAACAATAAGTGTTGACAAGGATGTAAAGGAAAAGGCACACTCATACATTGCTGGTGGGACTGCAAATTGGTGCAACCATTATGGAAAACATTATGGAGATTCCTCATAAAATTTGGAATAGAACCACCAATTGAACCAGCTATCCCAATCCTTGGTTTATACCCAAGGGACTTAAAATCAGTATATTACAGTGAAGAGATGTCTGGAGTACAAATATATTGACAATAATGCCTTTAAGATACTGCACTTTTAAAAATGAAAGTGAATTTTTGTGATTTGTTTTAGCTCCACACATGAACTAAATTCACCTAGCATATCAAATATGCTTTAATATTCTACTTTATAGGATTTTTAAAACTCTGTGAATATAGTGAACATATATCTTATCATCCAAATTGGAACAACTCTTTGAATGAAACACGTGCTACAGACATTAATTCAAGGACAACAGGCACAAACATGAACTGTTCTGGGGAACCCAATACATGTTTCACAGAATGTATCACTTTTCAAAATATCCTTAAACAAAGGTAATTATTTGAAGTTTAAGATAGAATTTTAAAATAGAATATTCTTCACTCTTTCAGTTGGACATGTTTCAATCCTTTAATGTGCTCAAGTTTGTGAACTACTCCATTTTCTCTTCCCAGCTTCACCTTTACATTTTTACTTGTCAGTATACTGATTAAATCAGTGGCAGAAATAGAAAAAAAAATGAGGATTATAAATCTCTAATTTGTGTCCCTCACCAGCTGTTAAATGCTCACATGGTTTTTAAAGTACAATTCTTCAAAGTCTAGGAGAAGATACTTCATTTTCTTTTATTTTTCTTAGCTTCCAAAACAGTAATTGGGATCTAGTCCAACAAAATCTTTCATAGCCAAGAAAAATGAGGCATTATTAAAATAAAAAAGGGGAAATGTTCAAAGGCATACTACAGGGAAGTGCCAGACTGTAGAGTTTCAATGGATCCCTGAACAATGCCACAAAACTCAGCTATTATTCAAGCAGGAGGCACATTATTATTCTTACAGATTGATACCTTTGCTTATTATCCCCTTGATTGCACACAAAACACAGCAATTTGAGTCTAATAATGTCTGTAAAAGCTTCCATTAAAATATAAAATGTTATTAAAACATAAAGGAATTATCTATGACCAGTTCTAATTGATTTTTTTCCTATAATTGATGGGCTAAGTTATACAGTACTCAGGACAGCTGACTTTGATAATAAAAGGGAAAAAATTGATTTCTGGTTTCAAATGCACCAGTTTGTTTTGTCAAGTTTCTTAACTTCCACAGAGAGCAGCACCACAATACTTCAGGTAGATGACAGTAGATCATGGGTACATGTTTCTTAGTTTTATATAGTTCCATGATAATTAAAATCATCAATGAAAGATTAATCACATGTGTAGCCAATTTATACAAGTGATAAATGTAGTGTTTCTTGGTTGAATGAGTCGACTCCTACTGCCTTACTGAATGAAATCCAAGGAAATTGTATCCATTCATCAGATTCTCTCCATGGTCTGAAACTACAGCTCATTTCTATGTTAACTGCTCATAGCCTGCTATGCTTGCCTCCAAGCTTTTACTTCTGTTTTCCTTATGTTCAGACACATTTCCCACTTTCACTCATTGGCCAAACGTTTTCAATCTAGCAATATATAGCATGGGGTAATATTCATAAAATTTTTTCTGGGTCCACAGATTAACTTAAATGTCTTTTTTTCTGTGCTCTGTTATTTCTATTTATGTGACTTCTTATTAGCCCTTGACATTTTATTTTTGATTTACCTGTTTCTGGAATGTAAGTTCTTCCAGGACAAGGAACTACTTAATAAACATTTTCCAGCATGTATACTAAAATGGGTGCAAAGGATATATCACCTAATTTGAATTAAAATTAAATGTCTGTATACAAAATATTTTGCAGTTGGATGTACGGATAGTTAAATCATATAACCTTTTGTAAGAAACAATAATTCTGTACTATGAAAAGAAAATGCTTGTAACTTAGGTAAAACTAAATTTGAATCTCATTTTTATACCTGATCAGTCATGTAATCCTGAGCCAATTATTTACCCTACCTGAGCTTCAGTTTTCACAGTTTGTATAAATGAACATACAATTAAAACTATGGCAACAATCCAATGAAAAGTGTACTGAGATAAGTATGTATATATAACATGTATGCTCCATAAATTTCTATATTTTACTTCATTTTTTAAAAATTATTTTAAATTTAAATAAAGAAGGAAAATATTTACTTTTTTAGGAGCAAATAGTAAAGGGGAGCCTTTTGATAGCTAATTATTTTGTATGCATAGATATACAAATTCACACAATATAAACTAGACTTACTCTGTGTCTTTGCTGCTAGCCATTCATTCACTACAGTTCCCTTCTCTCAATCCCCATCTATGTTTGGCAAATTCCTACTCTTCCTTCAATGCCCAATTTAAATCTCACCTTCTCAATGAAGTCCATGGAAATCAATTGGAAAATCATCCAGGTTTCTACAGTATCTCTTTTCTGATTTCATGTTACATATTATTAAATCAAAATTGTAGTGCAAATTACCCTAGCTTTCAAACATATTTCAGATCTAGAATGAGCTTTCAACATAAAGAGTATAATGGAGCACCTATTGAATGAATCTGTTGTTGAGCAAGACATTTCATTCTTATATAAGGATTAAAATATTATTAAAATAAAAATATAAATCAAGTACATTTTAGATATACTCATTGATTATTCTTTTGTAGTCCAAAGTTAATACCTTTTAGTAAAAAATATGTTGCAAGACATAATAAATTATATTATGTAGAAATATATATATATATGTGTGTGTGTGTGTATATATATATATATATATATATATATATATATATATTTAACTAAAACTTTTATTATATATTAAAATATTAAGTATTTTATTATATAGAATTATAAATTTGCTTTAGAGAAAAGCAGTATAGTATACTAAAAATGTACCTAACATTCTTTTTTAATCAAAAATTTGGTTAATTGCTATTCACATTCATTTTAATATTTAAAACATAAAAGTGCCTACATTAGCCTCTGCTTTTCTTTGATTAGCATTTCATAAATACAAGGAAATTAGACATTAGTTTAATTTACCTTAATAACCAAATCAAATTTCTGATGAAAGTCTCTGTTTACAGGCTCCAGCAGACTAAGTTCTGCAGTCCTAGGATGCATATGGAAAAACCGTGGGTAATCCTCAGGAGTCCCTGAAAAACATTGACATTTCAGCACATAACTGAGAACAAAAAGTAATATGTGTATCTGCTTTGTCTATTTTCCTTCATTAACTGAGCAACAGAATTACAATTTTATTAGTAAATTAAGTTTCAAAATTATGCAGTCTAGGGAAAGCAGACACAAATGTGGTATATAATTAATTAGTTTATGAGTAAGAGAATGGAAAATATTTGTTTGGATGATTTTCCAAATTTTTTTTATTAAGAGAGCTCTTTAATTAATTTGGAACCTCATCACATGAAAAGAGATATTAAGTAGAAGAAAAGCAAATTTTGGATTATAAGATTACATGTTAATGGTGCATAAATATTAATTATAGTCTGCCTGGTCTCTCTACATATCTGGTAATAAATAATGACTAGTAATTTAAACCAAATATCAGGATGCCTGGAAACTTATATGAACATGCTCTGTTTCATCTCAGTAAATTTTTTTACAAATAATTATTTAGTTTATTATGTGAACCATATAATTTAGAATGTAGGCTTTGATGATACTTTTAATGATTAGGGTGAATATTTCTTAAACACTGACATTTTAGAGTTTAGATACCCTTCTTGCAGAAATTCCCTTCAATTGTATATGTTAAACTGTGTAAATACAACAGTTTTTGTTCTAAAGTAAAGAAAATGTTTAAGTCAAATCTTGGATGTCAAATGTAGAAGTCAAATCAAATTATACTGATGATTACTTAAACAGCCAATCATAATCACCCCATAAATCATTTCCATTTTACTGATAAGAATTTATGTAAGTAATCATCAATAACTCTGTAAGTGATTTCTATTTTATAGACAAGGATATAGAGAAATTGAGAGTATAATAAATTGTCCACACTAAAGAGTTACACTTATATCTCTGTATTCATATCCAAATGTGTGATTATTAAACTACTCCTCTGTTTAGAAAGAAAGAAAGAAAGAAAGAAAGAAAGAAAGAAAGAAAAGAAAAGAAAAACAATTTCCTGGACATTATATGAGAAAATAGAAAAAAAAATCACTAAAACTGACTTGAAAGTCCAGAAATAGGAAAACTATAGATGAAATTTACTGTATGATAAAGGATTACCTCTCCTAGTAGGAGAGTCATACAAAAAATGATAGGGTGTACTCAATTCTTCATAGAATTTATTAGACTAAATCCAAAATGGAGAAAATATTTATGTATAATCAATAATAAAATAACATATAATATAAGCACTAATAATAGGTAAAAAGTATGGATACATTTTACTCTAATTTAAGAGTAGGCAAATTTTTGCTACTATGGTTCAAAGTCAGGAAGCAATAAGAGAAAAGAGAGAAATTAAATTATACTACAAAATTGCATGGCAAGAAAAATAAGCAATATAAAGTCATGTGACAAACTGGGAAAAAGTTTCCAGTTTACATCAGAGACTAAAGTTTACATCCCTGATATATACCAATTTATCACTTAGACAAGAACAGAAACTAACAATGCATTAAAAATAATTGGCATTTAAGTATGCACAAAAAATTCAAAGGAGAAAAACAAATGATTTTTGGTTATATGTAAAGATGCTTTTCTCTATACTTAAAAAGAGAAATACAAATTAAAACTACACTAAGATTCCATTTCTCACTTGTCACATTAGCAATAGTCCTACTTGAATATTATACTCGGCTGGTGAGCCTGCAAGAAAATAGGTAGTTTTAGAGAGCTGTGGTGTTATTACAAAAGTGCTGCCAAACCTAAGAAGGAGAACTTGAAATAATGTATAAAATCATATTGTTTACTTTCTTTCTTTTATTTTTTTTAATTTGGCAGTGCTGGAGATAGAACCCAGGATCTCACATTTGATAAAGGCTCTACAACTGAGTCATGAGTCCCCAGCTCAATGTTTATTTTCTCACTCACACATCCTACTTCTCTACATTTTTGGATTATAATAAAAGATAAATACCCATCTAAACCTACATCAGTAGTGCTCTGAAAGAATAAATGGTGATACATCTTTTAATGGATGAGAATTCAAATGTAAAAATGAACAGTGAATATCTTTACCTACTAATTTTTTACCAATATATTAAGTGAAAAGGGCATTTGGAAAAAAAAGAACTTGTATTTTCCTGATTTTTTTTAAAGAAAGAACACACACTT